TCCTAAGACGTCTCAGAGTTTGCTTCCTCACAAAGGCAGAACCCCTTTTCGGAGGATCTGCCTTTGCTACCCAAAGGAATTCCTTGTGCATGTAATGGGAAGTATGTAGGGGACGCCTTCGGAACTCGGAAACACCTCGAAGCGGTGGGAAGACGGCGCAATCCGGCGGTCCAAAGAGTTAAAGGATTCTCCTGCAAAGAAAATCGGTGGGTTTGTAGAGGAAATGGTCTTCCACAGGATAATCTTCAGGGTCAGTCTGCAGGGGGAAAATGAAGGCACCGGATTCTTGAGCCACTCAAAAGGCCGCTTCAGGAGCTAGTCATGTAGAATCATGTGGATCTGAACTGCAGATCGTGTCGAAGGAACCTGTGGGAACATTAGGTGTGTGCAACCGTCGTACAGAGGTCGGAGGGAGACTTGCGGTTGCTTCGTTGGCACGGGGATCGAAGTGTAAGAGATGTGGGACACCAAACCAAGGAGATCCCAATCATCCAGTTGTTTGTGTTTGGATTTACAGTAATAGGAAGACCCCCAACCAAAAATTACCAAAGGTCTTTTGGCCCTTGTTCGTTCTGCCAGGAGGCATCTTGGGCGGATCTCCCTATTTGATCAAACCCCGAAACCGAACAAATACTTTCCATCCAAACCTGTTGCTTTTGTTCCAAGCTGCCCTACATGCCTCCCATGTGCGCGGTTCTTCTTCCTGGTCTCACGATCCAGCCAGTCCGTGTAGTTATCAAAGCGATGCTTGTCGAAATGCCTCGGCGCCACGCTGTTTGCACTGACTCGAACCCACCGGCGGACGTTCAAGGTCATGCATCGATGCGAGTCGAAGGGGTCCGTACACCCGGTCGGCTCAGGGGTTCCACATGGCTTCCTCTACTACGTTCACAGGTGGGTTTTGAGGTTTAATGGCTTAACCTAGCCGGTGGTACACTCCAAGAAAGATCTCCTCCCCACCACCCATGGTGAAAAGCAGCACAAGTTGTGTAGGTTGTGTTTGTCTGCACTCTGGTGTGTTTCTTTGTTCGATTCGCCAGAGTTCGGATGAGTTCAGAGCTTGGAAGCCTCGTGCAAGTTTGGTGCACAACCAGAGGACCGTTCAGTTTCAACCAACTCTTGAGAATTACAGAGTGGTTGATGCCAGGTACCCAAACGCTCCATGTATGCAATTGTTTGGCCTACATTTGCTGGCTTTTGGTGGTGAATGTAGGCCGGGGCCGGAGCGTTTGGGATATACCTATTGGTTGTTCACTTCTGGGGTATCCCCTCGACAGTACGGCCGGGCCAGCCCATCCATGTGCCGGAAATGGAGTCTTCAAGGTTCGGGGTGTACCGATTCATGACACTGATTGCTTGGTAAGAGGCATGCGGAAACTCACTGATGTGACTAGGCTCCCTGTTTCTTTTGATTGAAAGTAGATGGCACCATCGGCGAACTAATCAGTGGTTTGGATGGACCCCCAATCGTCGAAGCAAGGGGAGCAGGGGGAAGTTCCAAATGAACAAACCGCTTTTGAGCAGATGAAACCATCGCAGACTTTCTTTCTTTCTCAAGCATTGAAGGTCGATGCCTATCGCTCTAACTGGAAAACCAGCTGTGCAGACTGGCCCCACAAAAAAATGTCTCAAGTCATCAATCTGTGTTGCACATGTATCGAGAATGATCGTGAGAGGTCTCAGGTGTGTTCGAAGCATCGCAGCCGAGCCAAAATACAAAAGAAACATATACTAAAAAGATCGAAAAAGCGCTTCTTGTTACTACAGGTGAAACGATTCCCAGTGAAACGATTCCCAAGGAAGCTTTGGTCGTTAGTGAGAAAGCTTTACTGAGAAGCTTCAAAGACCAAATACCCTCGCTAGATCCATGGATCATCATCTCTAGATCCCCGCCCAGGTACGGATCGCAGGTGGATGAGGCCATCGGTACCTCGAGAGAGTCTCAGGCCGGTCACGGCCGAGCTCCGTTGGGCGGGTCACACGGACTGGGCGTGTGAAACGCGAAGGGCCAATGAAAACACACCAAAACGAACGCGGGGAAAGAAAGGGGCCTGCTTGCCAGCTCTACTTATGTTTAAAGAATGGTGTATATAGAGGGCACAAAACATAAGAAGGAGGACTGTGTGTGTGTGTATACACCCTTTCTGGGGGCATCACCACTTAACTCGGATAGATTTGGCAGAAATCAGACATCAAAGGCCATAGTGAGCCAAAGGCAAAACCCATCAACTCATACGACCCACCACAGCCGACTCGTCGTCTTGAACCGACCCGGCTGAAGGGGCTCCTCAGCAGCCGGAGTTTGGACCGACGAAAACGGGCGGAGTTTGGATCCGAAAAACCGGTAGGGTCCAAGCCAAGAGACAGATCCCTAGACTTGATGTTTGTTTGGAAAAGGTCGTATTCCCGTTTCGACCTATTTCGATTTGCAGTTAAAAATGAGACTCTGTCAACGGAGCCTCCTTCCCCCTTCCTTCCGCGCCCCTTCCGGGCAAAGAAGAACCAGCGACGGCCATCGTCCGCGGCGATCGGTCCACGCCTCGTCTCTTCAGCACGGCTCGCTGGGCACGACCGACGTCGGGTCGAACGGGTCGAAGGTGCTGCGGTCTGACGACTGCCGCGGTCTGACGGTCCGAACTGACTTGCTTTGTCTGACGAACTGAACGGGTTAACACGTCTCGAAACTGAACAGGGCAGCAGGGCAGCGCAGCGAGTTTTTCTGGTTCATGTGATTGGGATCGAGCATGTTGCCGAGCATAAAGCGCAAAGAAAAGCTGACTTTCCATGCCAATCTTGCTCGTGACTCGTTGCTGTCAAGAAGAGGTCCTACACTCCCACTATTGCAAGGATTTCGTCTAGGCAAGGAGCTAAACCTAGACACCAACCACAACATCCAATCACACGGATGAAGCATCACTTCTTATTAACGAGTATATATTACATTATATATACCGTGTAAATTATGTAAAAACATATATATTATGGAACAACTCTCTCACCAGGCACACTCTGTTTACTGCGTTTTCCTCCAGTTTCGGCCTTCCTCCGCTGCTGACTCTCTCACGGCTCTTTGAACCCGCCTTCGTCGAGGTGGTCTCCAGGCCACCGGACCTGGGAGATCTGTCTTTCTCAAGCGCCTGTCGCCTGTCGCTCTAATTGGAAAACCAGCTGTGCAGACGGTTGTTTCTTGCTTTCCCCTCCAAAAAAAAGTCTCAGGAAAAACATCTCTGTGTTGCCCATGGATCGAACATCATCGTTCCAGGTTCCGTTGCAACAACCATAAACTCGAAGACACGTTCTCTCGGAACAACGAACGGTGTGCATTAAAGTAGGGAGACCTCCCAGGCAACGACCCCCTGGGGCCCTGGAAGGTTCGGAAAATAGACCAATCATGACCAATCTACCCAGGGCCAGGGTGGAGACCCATGTTGTCTCCCTCTGAAAATACACATCCACATTTCGCAGCTTAGGAGATTGACCCAAATGGGAACATCAAAATCATCCGATCCCCAGTGACTGGCAAGAGTGTGTCAATGTTTTGGTCGGTGGAAAGGGGGTACTGAAATCTGAAACCACCAAATCTGCAGTCATCACATGTGCATGTTCGATTGGATAAAGAGTCCGGTATTCCACCTCTGTTGGGGAAAATCGATGGAATTGTCATCCAATTGGCCAATCCGGAGGTGAGGTGTGCCGCCTTCATGGTTAATACAGTTGCAAAGAGACTTAAGAAGAACATATATTTGGCGATGCTCTGCTCACGTACTCACCACTCCAACATATAGCCTAGGATTCATGGCCCAACGTATGATTCTTGCCAAGCAACTAACAACCAGTGTTTTACTATGGATTATAGACACCAGAAAAAGGGGTCAAACATGTTTTAGATGGTGTTGGAAGACTTTATAGGGGTATATTGAATTACAAAAGCCTCTAAGTCTAAGGTTCAAGGTGAAGAAATCCTCAAAGCGATTCACAACTGCCCCAAACGACCTCCGGAGCGCGGGTGATGGCTCGAACCCCAAAAACGCCCAGGGCCCACAGCATAGTCCGCAGGCACTTCGCTCTCCGAATCATCCATGGCCCAGACCTCGGTCCGATCAAAGGTGATCCGGAAATGGGCTCCGAACGGCTCATCTCCTCAGGTAAAGACTGACCACCCCAAATCCACCCGCCCCAATCACCAAACCGAACACCGAGGCCAGGAGCCCAAGGCCATGGGCACCGCGGGCGGGCCAGTTGGTGCGAGGGGTGTCGTGCTAAGAAGACCGCTCCACTCGACTCGGAGGAGGGAGGAAATTTTGTGCGATCTTTTTGGGTGAGTACTGCCTCAAGGAGGGCTGAAGGGCGGAGGAGCATTCGAGCAGCTAAGAAGTTCAAGAGCGCTGCTCTGGCGAATGTTTCCCATTCCCCCATGTGCACTTCAAACTTGAGAGAAAAGACACCCACACCTAATCATCTACTCTTGCTGGAATCATGAATCTTGGCCCCAAAAATCGGCCACCGGAGTTATTGGGCATCTTTCCACCCGACCCTTTCACTACCGATCCACTTCTGTCGATCCGATCCACTTCGGCCCCCGGCAATCCGGAAGGATCCGTCTTCCAGGACCTGGCGCCGGCAACGGCCAAAGTCGGTTTCGGCTTCAAAGGAGAGCGACCCGTGTGTTTTTCGGATCGCAGAAGGTGTGGAGACTGTTGTTTCGGTTTTTATAATTTGCATCAAAAAATATCAAGCAGACTTGGCATCATTCGCATCATTCGTTTTAGCTGGTGGGGAGCAGTGTTGCCATTGATTTGGATACCATTGGTTTGAAAAGGACACGACAAGACAAGAACCTCGACACTGGGTTGGTTTTTGTTACTTGGTGGTGCACGATATGCCCGATATGCAATCGGTTTTTTCTTGAACGGTTTGAGCAAAGGGAGCCTACAGACAAATGGATTTCTAATGTGGGTAGTTCTGGACTTAGCAATTTGGGTTGTGTCTTCCAACACCAGTGATGCCGAATTAACAGAGGGGGGCCGAACTTGTATTGTAATTAATTACACCGATTGGTATCTATTGGTGTTTAGTTGGTTGATATTGGCTTGTATGTGCTTGTTCACTTGGGAGTATCCGCTCTGTCAATCAACCAACCAAGGCCAGGCCGGTCAGGCCATCTATGGCCAACCGCCCAGTTCGGAAGATTCATTCCCTCACGCCCAGTTCGGCCGCCGGCCTCGCTGATCGTGGCATCGAGCCACATCTCCTCGGGCCAGTCAGTTTGGTCAGTGGGAGGCTTGCATCCAAAGGATGCGCAGCGGATCAAGTCAACACCTATCAAGTTCATGAAGAGAAAGAGTCCTGGCACATCCGGACAGTGCGCCGCGAGCCGCTGACCCACCACCGACCTGCTCTATCGGAGGCACCTGGAAACTCGCAGGCCACTTAGGAGAGCATGGATGGAGGCATTCTTTTGAAATTGATCAACATAGCCCCAAGATAGCTTCAACATGGATATGTGGATTGCTGCGAGGTCGTTTTCAAAAGCCAGTGGTGCGAGAAATGCTTCCTGAGATGCCTTGCAAGTCTAACATTTTGTAATTCTGCTTGCTCTTCTTAGTTCCTCTTCCAGAGAAAGAGGAAGAGAAAAAGGAAGAGAAAGAAGAAGAGCAAGAGAACGAGCAAGAGAAGAGAAAGAGAACGCCTGCACCTGCCCTGCTTACGCCGCCTCCACCCTACAAGGCCAGCACCTGACGCCTGCCGCCCGCTCTTAGGCCCTTAAATCTCAACCAGCGACTCGGTGTCGCTTCTACATTCCGGATCCTCACCGATCTGGGGCTTCACATCGGTGAAGCCCTTGCGGTTCCGTGGAACAGTCATCTCCCTTGTCCCAGCGCCCAAACAAAACATATGATCTGGGGAATCTGCCGGCAAAACTCCAAGAAAGTCGCAACATGTGGGGAGTTGAAGTATTCCTTGGGACCACCGGATTTGGATGGTTACACCCACTGTATGGGGAGGTTGAATGTTGGGGAGGCCAATTTTGGAAGCAAATTCGCCACTGATGATCTTATGGCTTGGGCCAGGCCGTAAAACGTCTCCAAATTGATTGTCCCACTGCCCCTGACAAGCTGCCCGTGACAAACTGCATATACATATACATGAAGGGATTCACCCACTGGGAAAATAAAGTCACCTTAAGCAAACCAGGGAATGCTCGGATACCAGTGAGACTTTCTTCAATGGGTCAGCCAAGTAAGAGTTTGCTTGCGCCCAACGTCTAGTCGCGAAAGGCATCCCTTTCTGGGCTTGCCCACGTCGTCTGGCCAGAAGGCCTCGACCTTAGAAGAAGAAGAAAAGTCAAGACTCCGCTGTGGGACTAATCTACCGGGAAGTGAACAGAAAGTTCTGCTGCTCCCACAGCTCACACTGTAGAGTTCCACATGGTCACTGGCCAAACGTGCAGCAACCTAATTGCCGTTTATGAGAGACGCGTTTCTAAAAGTCAGTGCGTCCTCCACCTCATTACATAGAAGTATACTATACAAGTTACCAGAGAACGCGTTTGTCCACTCGCGAGTTCTAAAGGGCCACTCCCTTCAGTCGCCGGCCACATCGCCCGCGCTGGGCGTGACGGCCGCCGCCACACTGGGCTGTTTGGGCAGCATCTTTGACCGGCCCATGGGGCGCACCTGGTGTTCGGAGCCAGTGAGATCTCGCCCGGCCAGGGCCACAGTAGGCAGGCAGTAGGCACTGCTATGACGTATAGGAGGCATGCGGCATGACGTAGGAAATGCGCTTCTTCGTGATGTGTGGCGGGATCGGCCATACCTGAGGTCTTTAGCAGCCAAAGGTCAACTTCCGGCAGTTCCATGTCAGGGTGGTGTTTGGTCCCCATCCAGTGAGTGGATGCGAAAGGGGCACTCCATAGAACTGCTGGTGGCTTGGAGCCTTCTAGCTGGGTCGTGCAGCTGGGACAGCAAACGAGACCCAGGTTGATCACACGAAGCAAATGGATGACGGCTAGCGCCCAGATTTGATATTCTCTGGCCAAATGCCACCTGGCTTGCAAATACCATGGCTTTTCATCTCCTTTCATCACCTCATCCCTACCTGCTCAGATCTCGGTCGCTCAATATCCCTGCCTTGGCCAACAAGACTCGGCCACCCGCTGCTCCAGGCGATCGAGCCGCCTCGGGGGATTCGACTTCGTGCACTTGGGAGGATGGACTGAAATCAGAATCATGCCAAAGTTCCGCTTCATATGATGGTTTGGGTTCCGAACATGGTGCTTTCCCTTGGAAGATAAGGCCTAGTCAATTTGTCTGTCGGGACGGGGGTTGTATGTCAAACTATCACCCCAACAATTTCAGGATCTCTTAAATAAGGCACATGTTTGGTTGGCTAGATGTCTCCGGTAAACCCAGGATGCACGCGGATATCGGAAACTGGATCTGTCCGGTAAGCTTATTCAGACCAATCTGCTCCGATTGTGCAACATCAAATGAAGGTTGGCTGGTTCCCACAGCTAGTCCCTTGCATCAACACTACTCACTACCCTGCGATGGCAGAAAAAAAAAAAACGATGGCTTCCACGGTTTGGAGTATCTGTGGCATTGAAGGGACCAAGTGGACCCAGCGACTGCAATCCCATCCAGGCCAAGTAGACCTCTCCCACCAGCTCTTTTGTTCTCCCCAAAGCAGCAGCTCAGCGAAACCTCGACCCTCGTGAGACACCGCCATGGCCCCACTGGCACCAGTGGGCAAACCCTGAATTAGACCTGCTGGTCTTGAAGCTTTTTAGTGCATGGAGAAACCAATTATCGGTATTGCAGGCGTTGCTGATGTCTCTGCTACCGATGTTTGAGCTCAAGACTCCAATGATCGCCGTAAGCACAGCCTATTTGGATCCATCTCTTTGGTCAATCCTCAAATGATGTTGTCTGATGTTGTCTCAGCATTCCTTTATATCAAGTGCTCGAACCAACTTCGGCTGTCTTACACCTCGATGAAGTCCTTGAGGTACTAAATGTATCTACGGTGGTTTCAGAGTAGATGGCGCACCGCAAAATGTCTATAAAGGGGTCGGGTCCATCTAAACTGTAAACGTTTTACATGTCATTTCGTTTCACGTTTTCACATCTCTCGCGAGCTCGTCCGCTCGGCGTTTCTGAGTTGGTCCCGTGAGTGAGCGCAATGCGCAGTCGTCGAAGGGTGCAGGGTGACTTTCAGTCCGAAGTATAAATATATACATATATATAATATATGTGATGGGGACCTTTACGTGCGATATTACAAAATACATTGAAAATAAGTACGCCATATCATACATGGTACATATATGTTGGGATACCTTAGATCTCATTCCCTGTAACAGTGGATGATGATGATGATGATGATGATGATGAGGATCACGATCACGATCACGATCACGATCACGATCACGATGATGACGATGATGATGAGGAGGGGGAGGATGGTGGTCAGTAACAGCCTTTCTTTAATAGTGACAACTGTTTGCCGACTGTTACTGGACACCACCCGGCTCAAATGATATCATGTGTATATATATATACATCAAAACACCAAAACATCGGGAAAAACAGGGACCAAATCTATCCAACATTCTCCAACTATATCATTTCACCCTCAACGGTGCTTCGCATTGCTTCGCTCACAGCCACCTCTGACCCAATTCCCAATGCTGTTGGGATTACCGTTCCATCACTTTGGGCCGGTCACGTCCGGCCCTGGGGGTCAACGCCTCCGGCCGAGACCACGCCGCTTGGTGCAGCGCGGCAAGGGCGCAGACGTCCTGGCTCAAGGTCCTGGCGACCCGCGAGACGTGCCCGAGACATGAGCGAGCGCGAGAGGTGAAACAAAAGGGAGCATGAGTAAAGGCATAGATATACTTTTTCAAGGCCTAAACAGACGTTTTTAAGGATGTATGTGGATACTCCAAACTACAGAAGCTGGTCTTTTCTGTGTCGCAACAAGAGTGAGGCAAGCAGCTCTTCAGAAGTAACAAATCATTTGGCCACTGCTGAGTCTGCTGAGCATGCAATGTTCACTTGCTTGGGGAGTATGTCCAACACGATGTCAGCAGCATACAATTTCTCGCCAGACTCGCCACGTTGCACTTGCAGCCCAAAACCGCTGTTCTGAAGGGATTGAATTGTAAGAAATTCTGAGCTGGTCTCTAAGTGGCCAGACTTACTGGAAGAGTCAAACTCGCTCTGCGAGTGGGTGAAATAATCTGGACAAACATCATCTGGCTTCTGAAATCCATACTCCATCATTCCTATCAGTATCAATCCATCTCTAATCTCCTCATGTTCTCCATATTTGCTTAATTTTTGTCCAGTCCTGTCTGAGCTCTCCTCCTTTTCCCTGTCTCAATCGATCCCGGTCTCCTGCACCGCTCTTGCTGCCGCCGCGCACGCCGAGCCAACGACGTCTCCCGCGGCCGAGACGGCGGCCCAGACGACGCCGGAAGCGGCGGTCGGGTCGGAGCCAGCTGAGAGATGAAGGCCTCAATGACCTCCTCGTCCTGGCGGAAAAAGAAGGGAGTTCGGTGCATCTGCATGCATCTGCCAGCATCGCGAGTGTGTCTTTACAAAGGCAGATCTGAAGCAACAAAAGCGATCAAACAGGCTTGGATCACAAGCCATTATGGGACAGGTTGATTGTGGGCATTACACAACCGGAAACCTTGGATAGTTCATCTTGTTCCTCCTCATGCAGCTTGCCAGTTCTGACTCACGGCCAGTTGCCGGTTTTGTTCGAAAAACTAAAAACCCCGGGCCTCTTCAGTGCAATTGGACCTGGCGGTGCTCGTGCCTTCCGTCGTGCTGTCGTCCCACGTGCTCGACCTGGACCGCTGGCGCCGCGGATCAGCCGGAACCGTCGACCGACCGTTGGCGGCCCGTTGGCCCTTGGCCCGGAGGGTTCAGTGAGCCAATCGCCGCATAACATCGGCTTGAAAGCAGCAAAATGACCCTCATAACATTGGCTTCTTGGCTTCCAAAGGGTCTTAAAGCTTGACCCAATTCGCTAGGTGATGTTGGTTGGTGCACGTAATTAGGTTGGATAATATGCCTTCCAAACGACGTTGGATGGAAGTACAGTTGAGCAGTTTGTTGGATGGTAGAAATTATGAGAAACAAACAAAGTTCAGGCACAAGTCCTTCAGTTCATTTGCAGGATGCCTTCCAAACGCAGGATTCGGGTATCACAGGTCGTCCAGCACTTAGGTTCATTGATGCGAAGGCACCGTCTTGGGCCTTTCTCCTCGATCGGTGCGGCCAACTTCGTTTCCAGCTGCTGCCGTGCCACCAAATCCTTCGGATTTGGACGGGTTGGGTCCCGGTTAGGTTTGGAAGTACAGCTAATCCTCTACCCGCTCTGAACCATAACTTGTTTGATCAACTGAATCAACCGCAAATAACCAATCAGAATTGCCATTGATTTACCCTGTTGTAGCCATCCCCTTTGTTTAATTCTGCAATGAAAAGCCACCCTGCCCTTTAACAAAAAACAAACTTCGGATATCCTTAGACTCTCAGTTTGTCAATCCAAACAAGAACAAGCAACAGCCCAAGGATTGAAAAGTACCCTATAGCTCACTCAAACGAACAATCCAACAGACCGAGTTTACACTCCTTCAAAATAATCATGAAAGTGGAACTTGCATGACCAGTGGTTTTCCACATTCCATGATTGTTTCAGAGAGTGTATATTAACTTCATCTCCTTTGCTAAACTTGCGGTCAACAAAAATGACCTTCCTTCCTTTCTTCACCGCAGGTCCACCTTACAGTCCAGCGTTTTCAGGCCCGAATCGGTCACCCTGAGTGCTTCGTCTCCTCACAAATGAGTGCCTTTCTCTCCAACGACTTCTCCAATTCCCAGCTGCGCCGGCGCTCGGTCTCCAGCTGCTCCTCCACCTGGCGCTGGTGCCGAAACAATTCCCAGTACAGTTCGTCGTTTGTACGTCAAACCGAAGGGTGTGTGTGTATTTGTGTGTATATCGGAGAAAAATGAAACGAAAAAGACCATCAAACAACAGCGAGATAGCAAAAAAGGAAAGAGGTTCCGCTGCTCCCTTGCTTTTTCAGACACCCGCATGCCACCTCCGCAGTGTTCCATCTCGTCATGTCTCATCAGTTCTCGGAGACCACACCTGCTGTACGCGGCTGTCAGGCTCCAAGAGGCAGTCTTGAAGGAAGCGAATGTGGGCTTGTAAGCCTCGGATCAGGCAGTCCTGGCACACGCTGATCCGGGCACGTACTGACTGCGGGACGGATGTGCTCGGACGGAGGTGTGGCACCGATGGATGGATGGATGGACACCAGCGTAAAAGCGCGAGCTCGGTGGGAGTCGACAAACAATATATGTATATATATATACAAAAATGTATGTATATTATATATACATGCAGACGGGTTTACTTAACACAATCTGTGTGTTTGCATCACGTGTACTTTTACATGTACTGCAATTTGCATGCTTTTTTGAACAGCATTTTTGGTGGGAAAATTGGCACGAGAAATATGCGCCTTTTTCGTCCATGTTTTTGTCGTTTCTTATAAAACACGGTGGAATTGAGACTTCAGAACTGTTTCATTTTTCCGAGGGTTCGTCGCATGCGTGTTGTCTTGCGCACACATGTGTATCTCACGGCCTGAAGCTCTACGCACTGGGAAAAAGTCTTTTTGAGGGTGGTAATGAGGACTCGACACAAATTTGTTCTCCGAATCACGACCTTTCCTGCTAGTCACAGATCGAGTGGCGCTCTATCGGAGTCTAGCATTGGAGCAAGCCCTGCGTCACTGCATCACATCAATCAACCTGCACTAATCGTCTTCCCCCCAAAAAACAATAAAACCGTCAAAAAACAAAATTGTGATTTTCACAAACGTCTCACTGTTTTAAGTAAACCCGTCGGAATATATGTTAATATACACACACATAAGAAAACCATTGGGCTCGTCGGTCTCCTGTGGAAGCATGTGGAAGCATGTGGAAGGTCTTGTTGACTCTTTCCTTCGAACGTTGGCCTTCCATGTCCTTCACCATGTCGGTGCTTTGCATCACTTCTCTGGATTCTAATGCCAACGTCTTTGAGTCGAATTCGCGGAGCGGTGGGGCGGAGTGGTGGGAAATGGACGGTAGTACAAGCACCATCAGCACCACCTGGGACTTCTCCATGTTTCTACCATCCTTCCAGGAAGAATCATGCAAAAAATGAGAACTTTTGCAAAGAGACTTAGGTCTGAAACTTTGGCATGGGCACTACTTCAGGGCTGGTCAAAAAAAGAGCATCAGCTCTTTTGAGGCAAAAAGAAGTTGGCCTCCTGATGTGGTCTCGTGCAGTTTTACCCAACCTTTGGGCCTAGGAGGAAAAAACGTCATCAGGATTGGTGGATGGAGCAGAGATTTCACATTCCCTGGCAGGCTTTAAAAAAAAAAATCAAAAGCCCGTAATCACAAAACCCTGGCAGGCTCAAAAAAATCAAAAAAATACAAAAGTTTTGGCATCTATGGGGCCTCTGGGGGGTGCATAAATTTTTGAGCCTGCCAGTGTTTTTTCAATTGTTGGTCTACCCCACCTTGCAAAAACGCTGGCAGCCTCAAAAATATCAAGAAATTATACACCCCCCAAACCCCCCATAGATCCTAAAACTTTTGATTTTTTTGATGTGTTTGAGCCTGCCAGGGTTTTGTGACTAGGGCCTTTTGAAGTTTTTGCTTGTTTTGAGCCTGCCAGTGTTTTTTCAATTGTTGGTCTACCCCACCTTGCAAAAACGATGGAAGCCTCAAAAAAATCAAAAATTTATACACCCCCCAGACCCTGCCAGGGTTTTGTGACTATGGCCTTTTGACATTTTTGATTTTTGTTGAGCCTGCCAGTGTCTTTTCAATTTTTGGTCTACCCCACCTTGCCAAAATGCTGGCAGGCTCAAAAAAATCAAAATTTATACCACCAGTATATTATAGTTTATATTAAATATATATTTTTTTTTTGATCAGATGTAGGAGGATTTTCATTTAGCATTTTGATCAGACGCCACATGCACATTGCAGATTCAGATTTGTTGGTACCCCCACCTCCCCTATTTGTCTGAAAGTGTTGGTTTGGGGGGGTACTAATATATATATATATAATTTATACATATATATATATATGTTACTGGGTAACAGTGGATGATAATTGTTAGTAAGACCTGTCTCTAAAATAGTGATAATATTTTACTGACTGTTACTGAGATGACTGAGATGGGCTACGCGGCTACACCCTATAGATTGTAGTACCAATGACCCACAAACCGAAGAGTCTGCTGAAAACCAAAAAAGCAGCTGCCACCGGTTCGCCCAACAAAGGAAAGAAGCTGCAAGCACTAATTCGTGAGGGACCAGAGTCGTTCTATCCAGTGGTCTCCAAATCGAGTCAATCCCAAGCGAGATCTGACGGACCAGACTCTGGCTAAGCTCACGGCTCCGAACCGCGATGGAGTCCTTAGCCAGATCTCCTCCTTCCATGAGCTCCATTGACAGCTTGAGCCACAACGACCCCCCACAGCGCGGTCAACCACAGCCTGGTGCGGTATATGACAGCGTTCAACCACTTCTGGTGGGTCTTGACCTTGAACAGAAGCCGAACAGTGCCAAGTTGTAAAGACGAACATCACCAGTGGATCTCTGTCTTGAGATGGAGCGGGCACCCGGTAGATATCTTGAGATGGAGCGTCCAAAATGACATGGTTGTGTCGCTGTCGAATCCATGTCCAATCGCGTCCGGGCCTCCACCAAAAACGACCAGACCATACAAGACCCGAAGACCCACTGGAGGGGTAGAAGGGTCTCCTGACCAAATATTTGCATGTTAGAGGCTAGAGGAGTGATGATTTGACACCCCATAACACCCCTTAACCATCCTTAACCTTTAACAAGCTATTGACACCCCTTGGAGAGCACTGCTAGGTCTTTCAGGGACCGGTCGGGATGTCTTCACGGAGCCTTCCGAGGCGGATCGTCCGTCGTGGTCATCTGATGGGTAGTAACTTTCGGGTCTACAGTTTTCCATGACCTCCAACTCAACCCTCACCCCTTGACCGAGCTGTGGACAATCTGCTGCAGATTCTGTGTGGCAGCCGACCTTGGAAACCAACGGCAGAAGGTGAAAACAATGAGTTTTTCGATTCAGCACGGAGTGGCCGCCATTCCAACCACTCCACCGGACAGAAGAAAACATGCATTGATCCCTTTTCAACATGTTTCAACCACCCCAAACGAAGGCGAATATTGGATACACGGAGTGTCTGGGCACGTGAAATTTGGATTCACAGGAAATCTGAGGCGACGTTGCGAGTTCATCCTGAACGATGGTTCCCAGATGTTCACATATGCATGACTGGACACGCCGGTCATGGCATCCAGACCCAGTTCCCGCCCAACAACTGCAAAAACCTCTCGAAAAGGTCATGGTCCTTGGTGATCAAAGGAGGCTCCATCGGTCGGCTTGAAGTTGCATCCAGACCCAAAGAACCGAAGAAATTCACCACCTGCCGTTCCTCATTCCTCCAATTCGCTTGGTGTCGCCATCCCTCCCTCCCGCGCAAGCGCGGAAGTTCCCTCCCTGCGATCAACAACAACAACAACAACACAAAGACCTGCTGACCCTCTTGACCTTTAAAATCCGCCAGCTCCGAAGGTGGCGAGGCGTTGTGGAGGCTCGCACAAGCCGCAAGAAATCTGCTAGATAAATCTTAAGTTTTTGTTTTGCTGGGGGTGCATCTCATGCTTGGGAAATGCTGTGCTCTGCATGGCTTTTTGAAGATTGATCCAAGTGCATATGGTGTTGGACGAAACGTTGGCGACGCCGGCTACGCCGGCCGCGGGAGATTGCAATATCGACATCGCGGACGCATGTGCAACCCGGCGAACACTGCACTATTGACAACGTTGGTGTGCTCGTCCGTGTGTCCTGCCCGACCGGGACAGAGGCTGACAGACCGAGACAGACGTACCGAGACAGAACCCTCTGTGAAAAGGCTGGTGATTAGATAGGGCCACTGCGAAATGCTTCTTCACGCTTGAGCCCGGTTAACATTCCTTCCGGCTCCGAGAGCACACCGCGAGCGCAGGTTGCTGCCGAGCCGGTAGGGTGCTCATGACACACTTTTCCCATGTATGTCTGGATGTCTGCTTGCATGTATGTATGTATGTATGTCTGTATGCATGGATGGATGTCTATGTCTGTATGTGTGTGTGTGTGTGCGTGTGTGTCAACACCTGTTCCAAAGGAACGCCACAGGGGACCAGTTAGGATACAGCATCGCCTGGTCAACGAAGCTGGCGATGTATCCGAGGATATGGAAATGGGACGCCATTTCCACGTACCTGCAAAAATGTTTAACCTCCTTTAAAGGGCTAGTGCACTTTTGTTAAACCTTCTGTTGAGCCGACCCAGCATTTCCACTTCGTCAACTGATACTGCTCTTGCGAGCCTTTATCTAAGTGTGTCTATGTTTTCCCTTTACTGTGTGCGGGCGGCTTCGACCGCGAAGACGGTGTGAATAAAAATGAATTGGAAAGTCAAAACCAACAAAAACAACGGACAAAAACATCGAACAATCCCCAAAACCTGTTAGAACTCCAGGCGGCGACAAGCTCAGCGGCGGTGTGGCACCCGGCGGCTCACGCGGCCGTTTCGCCTCTTGGCCTTCGAGCGACATCGCTCGGTCCGCTCGGACGGACAAGCGCTCGGCGGTAGTTCTTTCGGGAGGTGCACCACTGGAGGTTGCGGAGGGCACCTCTGTCTTGTTGAATCCATTTAGAAGATTTTCCCAGGCAAAAGGATTTGTATGATCATGTAGACTGTATGCTGTGGTCTCTCGTTTGGGGTAGCCTGACGCACAGCCACATCTGACTCTTGGGGTATTATCTGGCCTATCTTGGTTGCTCCTCACCAAGTGGAAATGTCCAGTCAACTCTAGGGGCAATCTCCACATCAGGGCTGGAAGTTTGCCTGGAGTTTGCCTGGTACGTGGAATGCAAAAAACTGCCTAGATAATAACCTACAAGTCCAAAGACTATACTTTTCCTTAGTGAAGTGAAGGAAGCTCCCTTTCAGGTCCTCTAAAGATCAATTCCTTCTATAGTCTTTGACTCCCAGGGCGAGCCCAGCTTCACCCATTCGAGTTTCGCACCTGCCGGCGGATTTTTGTAGACGGAGATGAAGCGGGCATCGCCTGTGCCGCTGGACCTCAGACACGAAAAGCGAGCGAGGAAGAAAACCAGAAAAGAGAGGAGAACACCTTTTGTCCATTACTTTTTGAAAAGAGCTCTTTTACCATCTTGTTACGTTCGTAGCTTCTAGCCACTAGTAGTATTGCCCTTGTTACTAGCGATGCCCTTGTTACTAGTAGCTATTGTAACCTGTTTGTTTATCATGTTTGTTCTTTAACCTTTACTGGATCCATTGAATCATTGGTTCAGAAAATACATTCATAATTTCTGTGGCATCATCTCGAAACCATTCAATACCCACATAGACTCTCCTGCAGCACAAGTAGACTCTTCTTTTGAGCATCGTTGATGGACAGCACATCCTGCCCAACATATCCTCTACGGAGTGCTGCTTCTCTTCGCTAAAGAACAAGCTGCAAACGCGTGAACGGTTCACGGTCAAGCCAGCTGTCTTTGCCATGGAAAATGGGGGATGTTCCTTGCATGTAAGAGGTACAAAGCTTCTACGCCTCTTGGTTTTGGTGCGAAATACTCTGAACCTATTCCAAATCAAAAGCCACAGTCCTTATCATCTAGCAGTTCTGATGTGTGGTTGCTGCAATGCTGGGTTGGCCCCGGACCTTTTCTCTCAGAGCGATTTCCTCTTCATGAACGAAGGAATTCCCTCATCAGGCAACAGAATTTCTTCAAGATCTATGATGGGGTGTGAGTCCTGAACAACTCAACAGTGGAAGTCCAGCACCAAAACTAATAGAGACATCGAAATATGAACTCCAGGTCAGACTATTCTCCTTTGCCAAAGGTGTGTTTCCATCTTGATCTGTTTCTTTCAGAAGTCTACTGCCTTTCACTCGAATTGGCGGAAGAAGCCATAGGTTAGCCGCTCAAAATCGGAGGAGATCATCTACCAGTAGGTGTGGGGCTTGACCCACTGGCCAAGCAACAGCCCCAAGCACAAAGGTTCCTTTGAACATAGCCTCTTGATAGAAGAATGCGTTCACATGGTCCTAAGTCCTAAGCATATACCCTTGCGACAGCCCTTGTGACTCACAACCCATGTTGAGGGACGACATCCCGCACCAATCGAGGAAATCCCAGGAGACCGACACCTCTCCACCCCAAGGGGTCCCGACAAGGTATGCAGCCGGAAGGATTCTGCAATCTTGTGGATGTACTTCCGATCCTCAGAAGCGTCGGAAGGTTTCGTCCGCTGCTTGGTCGGTTGACTGCTTGTGTGGCGGTGGTGTTCTGGTCCCTTTTCTTGTTGTCTTCTGACTACTTTCTTCATGCCGTGCTTCCCTGTGTCGTTTGGTTGTCGTCCTTTTTGTGTGTTCGTTGGTGTTGTTTGGGTTCACCTCCCGTTTTGTTGGATGTTCTTTTTCAATGAAAAAGAACTGCTGCCTCTTTGTCTTGGACTTGCACTCGGGCCCCCCCAGGTCGCATTCACTACTCCAAGCTCTGGCAAGTGCGGCCGATTCACGTGAGAGGATCGAAACCTGAACAGTTTCGATCTGGATCCTGTTCTTTCGGAACCTGAAACGATGGAGCGAAGCGGCGAACGCTTTCTTTTCGAACCGAACAAAAATTGTCTGGCTCTCGAACTCCAAAGCACCTGAATGTTACCTCCAACCAACCTACTAGCGATGGCCTCCAACCAACCTACTAGCGATGGCCTCCAACCTCTCTTTTTTATTCCAACTCTTCAGATCAATCCATCACCACACGGGTGAACCTCCGAAGCAGTCTAGGCACCGAGGAGGTCAGATCACTTGGGAAGTCGATCTTGGCCTCCTGACGGTTGGCGGGTTTGCACGGGTTTCCTCCATGTGGCAGAGTTTCGAGGATGTAACCATTCATATAATAACCCCCAAGCGACGACCAAGGCTAGGGGGCAGTGACGAATTCCTCGACCAACCAGACCCCTGACATACCTCTTCTGGCGGAGAATCGTGTGTGACTCTTGTTTGGCGCCTTGGAAACCCAGCACAACTTCCCTCATCCCCAGAAAGCACGGCCTCATCGGTACTGGACTGCAGCTCGGACCTCGCATGCCCGTCTCGTCTGTCTCGTCTGGATGGCAAGGTCACACTCGAACAAAACTCCCAGAAATCCGTCGTCGGTGGAGCCGAGGTCGACCTCATAATGAACTGCCCGAACTGCCCGCCAAGAAAAGGGAAATGCAGCTCGGTCTGTCTGTTTCTCTCTCTCTCTCTCTCTCAGCTCGGTCTCTCTGCATGAGATCCCCAAGGATGTCCGAAAAGAAAAAACACAGTGAAAAAAAAATAGAAGCTTCAGAGCTTGGAGGGGTCTTCCACTGGCTTCTTCCAACACCAAAGGCCAGATCATTGGACCATTTTGGAACGCGTCCGAAGTGGTTCCCTTCGGGGCTTTCGTTCCGAGGAGGCAGTTCGCGTACCAGCAGATCGTCCGCCAACAGATTCAGAAACCGGAGCCCCCAGGTGACCCTTCTTCCATTTCGAGGTGCCTCAGGGCATGTTGCCTGCTTTTCTCTCGTGTTTTGGTCGCCCAAGAAGCCTTCGCCTCAGCGACTTCGCACATCTGAACCTTCGTTATCCAGATGCCGAGCGACAGCTTTTTCGCCACGTCCTTCCGGAAGCTTTCGGTCGTCATGGCTCATCCGGAAGCTTTCGGTCCCAAGTCTGGACTGGAGCGATTTCCGGACTTGTTGAGGCGATTTCTGAATTTGTTGAGCTGAGTAAGTCATGCGCAGAGCCATGCTGAGATGGGTGGATGTTCTTTCTTTTCGGCTTCAAGTGGTTCTTGATGGCTCTTGTGGCTGGGATATGACCGATTTTTTGCTGAAGCAACAAAGCATCTATACTCCGAAACTCCAGAAAAGATGGGACGGCTCAGATGGGACGTCTCCGACTGCTTTCGTCTGCTGGTGAAACTGCTGCTGCTTTCGGGCTCAGGTCACTGAAACAGCTCTGCATCTGTGAGCTCCGGCTGCGTCTCTTTCGAACAGAAACAGCTGCGTGGAACGAAGGGCCGCCTCGTGGTTCGAAGAAGCGCACCAAAGCAGTTCGACCGCCACCTATGGAAGATCGATGAAGCAGGAGGTCCATGGTTTTGGGGGGCCCTCCTTGGGAGGGGCCCTACTACGGCCGCTGGATGGAAATGAAAACATGGTCGACCGAGTCCTCGAACGCCGAAAAACTGGCGCCGAAAAATCAACGACCCACGTCAACCAACAGAACAACAACCACGACGGACGTGTCACAGCACTCCACATTCAGTAAAAATCTCAAGCCCAATCATGCTCACCGCCCAAAAAATGTCCCCTCTTGGTTCCCCTTCCAATCCCCTTCCTCCCCGGTCCGTGTCCGCGGCGATTCTGTCAGAACGCCAAGCTCTGCACGGACCGTGCACCGGTCCGGCACCCGGACTGACCAGGAGGGACTGGAAAAGAAGATTCCGTCCATTGGGTCTATCCTGTTATGTCCCAGTAACAGCCGATGATGATGGTTACAGTAGTAAAGGCCTTTCTCTAAAATAGTGATGTTCTTGTAAAACCCGACTGTTCCTGGAAAAAGATCCTGAAAAATAGAACGGACCGGCCCAAACCATCGGGTTTGGGAGTTCGTAAAACCGTCCTGAGCATGTTTGTAGGGTCGACTCGGGAGTGACTCGCGCGGGAGTGACTCGCGCGGGAGTGACTCACGACTACGACAGTTGACTCATTCATTGGCTGCAAGAAGTGCAGCCGGAAAGTACCCAATCCAGCTTCCATGAGGCATCATGATGCGCTGCTAGTTCAATCGGAGCCGGCATGTTGTTCGGCTTAAACACAAGGACAAACCCGACAAGTTGGAACTGTGGCTCCATCCACTTCCCTATATTGTATGTCAAGGGGCCTAAATGATTCTTTTGATGGCTCTAGGTTTGGCAAAAGTGTCGGGAATGCTCACATCTACAATCTCAGTGTGGAGTCTCACAGACTTTGGAGCCGGTCCCCCAAGTCTACGACAGTTGACTCATGTCATCGGCGTGTTTTTAGTGATTTCGGCACTCCTCAGCCGCCTCCGGCCCACACTGTTGCCGATCTCTCTGAGTCTGGTCTTTGAGTCTGGAGTCTGGTCCCCTCTGAGTGTGGCTGGGAATAAATAGCTCATCGTATCTGAAAAATGACCGAGTCCGGCAGAGTTCATGGAAGTGCCATCTCCGCACGGCCCCGCCCAGAAGTTCTTGAACCTACAGTACCCCAAGGTTTCTCCTGTAGTCAAGTTGTGGCAAAAGCCCTGAAACAGCCAGACCGGCAACATCAGGGCAGCAGAGGACAAATTCAGAGCATCCGTTCAAGCATTCACTAAACTCCTTCAAGCAGGATGACTACCAGGGCGCCCTTTCTCACTTCCACCTTCAGGCCAGGGTACCGTGTTTCTTGGGTTGGTCGCGATCAGACGTGGGTTGGTCGCAAGCAGACGCTCCGGAGACTCGATGGTTCTAAAGACAGTTGTTCTACCCAAAGAATCCAGGTTTGGTTCGGATCCGGACCCCTGCAAAGGTGGAGTTCGCCCGATGTCGCCCAAGGATTCTTAGGGTCGCAGAAAAACCACGACATCTCATCCTCCTTGATCTCATTTGACCCTCCCAGGTGTCTCGTAGAATCCCAAGGTCATCCATATCATCCCCCTAAGAGATGTCTCTGCCTTGGATCCAAATGTGGTTCATAAATTGCAAGGAGTTCAAAAAAGGAAGCAATAAGCATCCGCCTGTATAAACAAGCAATCTGCCTTGTGAACAATCCTTGTATCCGTCTGTCAATAGCATCCACAATCCTTGTGAACAATCTTTGTATCTGGTTGGATCAACCGAAGTACGACCCAACAAATGTGCACACTGACCGCAGAATCTGCAGATAAGAAAAGGGAACGAACCTGGCATGACTGAATATCATGTCCAAACCTGGATGCTTAAACCAAAGACTGCCATCGAACTCGGAATTGGGCCACTCGTGGTGGTAGCCACTCTGATGAACGCCGTCAGCGGACGATGAGGCTTCTTCTGGCAGAGGGTATATAGACTGCGCCTTTTGTCAACCTAACATCCACTTGCTCACTTAGTTGCTTGACCACGTAAAGAACTTCCGTCATCTTCCCAAGCTGGTCAGTGAGGCCGTGAGGCCAAAGAGATCTATCTCAGGGTTAACTCCCCAAAGAAACATCCGAGCATGTTCTTCACAGCACATCATTCATCGCTTCGGCCTTGCGAAATGCCCGGAATTCCCAGCCCTTGGGCCTCATCTTCCGGTCCTCACGTGGACCAGGTCAAGGAGTTCACCACGCCGCTGAGCTCCAAGCTGCAGAGCACCTCGCCTGGCGATCGTCGAGTTTACCCGTCGGGTCTACCCGGTTCACCCCGGTCGGGTCTGCGGATTTGGGGGTGGGAGATGGTTGGAGTTTGGGAGGTTCTCTTGGATCGGAGTCGAAACTTTGCGACTTCGTTTTGGTGGACACTTCAATGCAGAGTGACTGGCATCTTCACAAAAGAAATGATAGTACCTGCAAGGGTCCAGGTGGCTGTTGAAATGGTCGACCAGGCATTGAGCCGGCGGGCGTCGTTGCCCCAAACACTCCCAAACTGAACACAGTTTCGAATCCGACCCGTCAGGATTCTCGACCAGCCGACCCATCCCGCCGGATCTCCATAATTAAGACACACACCCATTATCAGAGTGTCAGTGGGATCAGCGTCGTCGACTCAGGTACCACCCACCAAGCACCAGGTGACCAGATCAGTCATCAGACACGTCAACCCATCACACGAAGGCGACACAATCTGGCATCGTTTAAATGAAGTAACAGAAAAAGAAAAAAAACAAAAGTATAGTATAGGGATGTTGGAGCGTTGTTTGGGGTTCATAGATCTGCGAATTCTGATCGAATATGATCTACTGTATCAACTGCTACTCTCATGGGAAATGATTCCTTCCTATCTTCCTACTTCAGCGTACGTGGTTCCCTTATTTATTTCGAGTGATCCCCGGGAATTGTACGCTGCTGATAACGGATGGCTATATAACATATATATATATATATACAGTATATTGCTCCAACATCACCAAGAAAATGTCTATGTTGCAGAAAAGCGGGAATATATGAGGGCAGCCAATCTGGCATATACTCGGCATTCCATCTGGTATTTGTTCTAGCATTCTATGGCATTGGATCTGGCATCCATTAAATTCTGGCACACTATTTAGCAAAAATGTTGGCATTCTATCAGGCGACATTCTATCTGGCATATTTTCTGGCACTCTACTTCGCAAAAATGCTGTCGGCATTCTATCTTGCATATTCTCGCAGCAGGCCAAAAGTCTTAGCTGGCCAGAGCCTTCCACCGCCAGCAAAGTAGAACGCGGCATCTGACTAGGCACAAAATGCAAGGCCCATTCCAAGCAGTTCATCGAGCGGCAAATCCAAACCCAATCAACCCGAGCACGGAAGCCTGCAACCTAATATGGAATTCAGAATCGTATCACCACTGCGATCTAGCGCTCGCGGTTGAGGCGCGAAGGAGGAGGAGGAGGAGGAAGAGGAGGAGGAAGAGGAGGAGGAGGAGGACGAGGAGGAGAGGACGGGCCTGATAGAGTCTAACAACCCTCACCTGGCAGGTGTGGAAATAACATTACGCATCATTATTCTCTACGAGACATCTCTGTTGTTGTCATGCAAAGAACCCGTCAAACCAGTCGATTGGAGCACGTTGCAGGACCGGGAAGAACCCGGGGCAATCGAGATCTCGCACATGCGAAGCAATAGCCATGGAGCATATGCCGATCAGTTGGGGTGGTAGGGGTCAATGTATGTACCCTAGGGCTCCAACCATATCCTCGGAAGGCGGTTAAACTCCCCAAACCCACCCCAACCGCCTTCCAAGGAGTAAATCTTCCAGTCCCAGACAGGTCGTGTCTGGGATAGAGATCATGCATCACCATGGATCAATCCACGACACAACCCCCAGGATCTGCACGATCTGAGGCGTTCCTCTCAGCACAGTCACCCCTCGTGTTTGTTCAACCGAAACCACCTCGCGTCGCGTGGAGGAGGTGGACGGATTGATCTGAACCTCGGTCGTTCCCGACGCGTTCCGGTCTTGGACGGTCTGGACGGACTGGTCAGGTCGCATGGTTTCTGGGTTTGACATTGGAGGTGTCAAACGAGAAGCCTCTTTTTGTGGTCTCAATACGTCCTTTTGGTCAAATGGACGACCGGCATCGGTCAAGAGCCCTATACAGTACGCGTATACTGTATGTACATGTATGTACGTGTTAGTTCTCAAAAAATGGGTCAAGCGTGGTGTTCGGAAGATTCCTTGGAGGATTATCCACTCACTTAGGGACTAAAAAACACCCCTTTGTGACTCTTAGCACCTGCTCTTTCTTTGAACCTTCAAGCGCTGCTCCGTGTTAATGGGTCAAGGGGCATGCAACGACAAGCTTTGTGCCGTCGCGGTTCCAGGTGATGTCCTTGCCAGCACGGTGGAGGGCAAGTGGAGGGATCAAGACCACCGAATCAATTCACAGCAGTTCAGCTGCAGCACTTCTGCAAAGCGTGTGTCTTTTCTAAAAACAGCGAGCTGACTCATCGGGTTTTTCGGTCACAAGGCCGCAAAACCCCGATGAATGAGTCACCTCCTCAACCTCAACCGAATCTTTCAATTGGTCTCACACACGAACCGGCATGAACAGCGACGCGAGCGACGTCGGACGGAAGAAACAGGGCGGGGTCTTCGTCACCCGAACTAAGGTGATCCACCTGGTGTGAATGTCCTCTACTTTGCATATGAAATCGGTTTCAAGCCAGAACTTCCTGGGGTGCCAAAACTTCAGGGTGGGGACCAATGATTTTTTGATTTTTTGGCTGGGAGGCCAGTCTGAGGGCAACCTCTACCCAACAGAGAAGGTTTTGGTGAAGTTCCACCTGCATGTGCGACTGCTGACTGTACATCCGCTGTACCGGTCAAGAAGAGCCCTACCTTTTGGAACACCAGGGAGATGTGGATTGGCACTAGCCTCAAATGCCCGAATGCAATGCCTGGGCAGCATGAAAACAATACATAAACTTCTTGTTTGAGGTCGGTTTCGACCTCAAACATCCTCAAACTCTCTCTCTCTCTCTCTCTCTCGCTTTCTCTCACGCTCTCTCTTTTTTGCGTCACCGGAGGGACTTCTTTGATAACGCACGGCGAAGGAAGCACGGCTCCTGGAAGGGCCCCAGCCCGGGCGATTTCCAGGCCATCTGCCCTGAAGGCACCGCCGGCACTCGACGCACATCGACCAAAAAAGTGGGACACAGAGCTTAGTGAGTTTGGTACGAAGAAGACCAAGAAGACAAATGGCTTTTATGTGTTGAAACACGCCATGTTTGTTTTGGATCTTTTGGAAGTAACAAGCAGGTGGTAAAATGGGATGAAATCTGATGAAATGGTGGCGGAAAGGCTGCCGAGCTTTAACCTGTCAGAACTCTAGCTAGAAACAAGGGCTTTGGACAAAGCGAAATATATATATATATACAGATACACCACCACTGGGGAGTTAAGCCAACAGTCTTGAGCGAGGTATGTCATCATGATGGAACATTCTACGCACGTGAAGACGTCAAGTACAGGAGAAGCTCTGCGAGCACGTGGCTATCAATGCCTCTCTACACATCGAAGTGACCCATTCTTGTGATACGAATGCTTGATATATTCGCCCGAGAGATGCTTGGATGTTCCATTTTTTGAACATCTTCTGGTTGGGGAGACAAGTAAAGAAAGGAACATACCTGAAAACACCGGAAAAGTTTCGCAGCTCACATTGTTTGCTCTTGAGGTCCTTGAGGTCTTCTAAGATTGTCCTAGATTCTAGTTCTCATCTTTAGACCCCAGACCTTCTCACCCAAATGTTAAAAAGGAACTAATGTTAAAATATTTATGTACATTACTGTATTACTTTAAAAATCGAACGAACCGCCAATGGCAGGACTTGGTGTTGCATTTCCGCCTCGCGTGGGACACGATGCACATTCCCCAAAAAGAAAGGTTTTACCCCCCCCACGCCGTCGGAGAGAGAAAAAAGTGACTCGGTGAACCTCGAGTTGCATCAAAGACTTGGAAGGTGGTACAAAGCCCCGCGGCAAAGGCCAGCACCTGAAGCAGAAGAGGACGCCGGACGCGGTCACCCCCCCGCCGTTGGGGTCACCTCACGCCGTTGGGGTCGCGCGGAGGAGGTCGGAAAGCGGAGGGACTACAAGTAATTAGGGTCCAGCACCATCCAAAGGGTGGCTATTGAGCCGGGAGCGAGAGGCCGAGCGAAGCAACCCTTCTGGAGGGCCCTGTTCGAGTCCATGTCAGGCACCTTCTTTCAATTCGAAGGATCCAAATGGGAGGGTAGAGTGGGAACCATCCTTGCAAGAAAGTCCGAAATCAAGTCCATCCTTCAATTCCCTTCTGAGAAGCCTTCGCTGAATCGTTTCCCATTCTCCACTTGGAACCAACGGACCAGCAGATCTGGCTCTTGGCCTGTGGATCAAAAAAGCCAGTTACACCTGTGAACCCTTCATCCTCGGAGAAATTGCTGTACGAAAGGTGCCGTCTGACCCATTCTGACCCATTCTGACTTGGATCAATGCAACACTGCCAAACGTTCCCCTTGGGCGAGCCACGCACTGCACAGGGCTCCATGACAGGCCTGGGAGGGCCGAAAGAGAGGAGGTTTGGACCGCCGTGGCGGTGGAGAGGTGGTGAATGGGTGGGGTGGTGTTTCAGACCTGTGAGAGGTCTGAAAAGGATGAAAAGGAGGTCCACCAACGTCAAGGGATGCATTCTCAGATCCTGTTGGACGTCATGGAACATGATAATAGATCGGTTCAGGCTTCCGGAGCAAGAGCCCGTGCACTTCTGGGTCCGGACACTTCTGGTAGATCACCTCGAAGAGGATGGTTCTTTCTGTATCACAAAGAAAAAGTATTTCGGCCTCTGCCCATGCGAAAGATCTCTGAATCTATAGCTTCCGAGTTCGGACATCCACACGATGCAAGTTAAGTGTGCCCCACATGTCCCAGCTCGCCCCGCCCCGGAGTCCCAAAAACACATCTGGCGCTTAGGGGAGCGTGACAGACTTGGCGTCCCGAAAAGCCAAGACGCAGGAGACGGAATCCGACAAGCCTGGGAGACCCATCGATGCCGAAGAGATCCATCGAATCGCTCTGGAGACCCACTCCGAGGAGACTAAGCTCCTCGAGCTCTAAATGTGATGACCCATAATCACGAGTGTGGCAGTTTGGGGTGGAGTACCAAACGAGTATGGTATATGAATCACGAGTGGTTTGGGGTGGAGTACCAAACCCATCCGTGTCAGTCGAATATCCTCGAATCACGAGAGTGGATGGCTCGACTCGAAAGAAATGCCCTGCCTCGTGGCTGACACCAAATTATGTTTGTTATCTTAATCCGTGTCAGGGTTCTTGGACTAGACCCTCCAATCGATGGGTTTCGCGGTTGAGTTGCCCCCCCGCAGACATTCTGCCAAGATATTGCGCACAAACCTGCTCCTGGCCCTTTTGGAGACTTTGTTTTGGGTTGCAAATGTTCACAGTAATGAGGAAACCCAATTTTGTGGGTGGAAATCAGAACATGGCTGCATAGCCCTGAAAAGGATGACGCACCAAAGGATCTTCACCCGCCTTAAAGTTCTTCTATGCTTTTCTCCTCAAACCCAGAAGCAACTGTCACTCTGCAGAATCCCAGGCAAGCCCTGGCACCCTTACTCCCTCCGCCGAAGAAACCCCGCCGACCCCGCGGCGACGCTGCCCAGCTGCCCAGGTCTCGTGCGGCGCCACTTTGTTGCAACTCCCATTGGACCTGCAGGTGACAGGGGGGGTAGGAGCAAGGACGCTACTAGGGGCTCCTTGGCCGTACTACTACAGTAGTAACAAGAAGCTATTAGAAACAAGAATTAGAATTAGAAACAATAAGCTACTATAGGAACAAGTGCATCGCTTCTAGTAACAAGTGCCTTACTACTAGTAACAAGAAGCTTCGGGGGAACCACACAGCCATCTCAGCACAAAGCGAACGGTGGTGAATCGGCCGTCTGAACCGACAGGGGAGGGGGTCGATCCGATCAGAAGGCTCGGCGGATCTGTCGGCGAATTCGTCCTTTTTGATCCAAGCTCCAGTAGGGAGCTTGGTCAAAAAACAAGCTCAAGAACAAAGCAGGAGTCTGATTCTTGATCATCTGCCTCGTGACGGTCAAACACTGTCAAACAGAGTTCAAACCGGTTGACCGTTGTGATTGACCGCTGAAAACCCACAGCTGATCATCGGCCCAACAAAACCACTTGTGTGTCGCAAGTGCCAAAGAGGTCCAACGAAAGACGTGGTCCATGCAGCCGATCCATGCTGATCACAGTGGCTAAATGGGATCCTTGCAGTTTTTTTTTATATGGTGATCTACCCACAGCTGGTCTCCCCAAAACATACGAATCGCGTCTGGAAAAAACCCTGCCTGGCCATTTTGGCTGATGACGCTCACAGTGCCGTCCTCATCGCCGCCCGCCAGGTATTCCCCGCCTCTGTGCAGCCGCCGCTGCGCGAAGGACGGGCACGACGGGACCGGAACGAGGTCGTCAGCCTCTGCCAAACTCCACGAAACCGCCCAAGGGAATTAGCTGAAAGCCAAATATTTGGGGGATGCCTTGTTTGGGAGATGGATGGGAATTCCAACCTGTTGATCCACCAAATTCACGGCCTGGGGCAATACAATCGGACCCGACGGAAGTGATCCGGAACCAAAACGGCCCCCGGGAGTCCATTGGGTGCACTGTTCTAGTTAAGACTCCTCGACTCTTATGGTTGCTCAAGAACCTCCTCAAGATGTTCATGCTATGAGATTCTCCCTTTGTATTGATGAAATGATTGATGGACCAAGATATGAAAGTGAAAAAATAACGAATTAAGTTCTGTTCTTTTCCCTGTCATTGTGCCTTTTCCCTGTCATTGTCATATCTTGGGCGTCATTAAATCTATACTGATAGATTCCTTAATATTCCATTGTACTATCACTATTTGTCTGCTATTTGCATGGTTTACAGGCGTTTGTCTAAGGCTAGACAAAATAGAAATGCAAATAGCCCATAAACTAATTCAGCTGATTCCCGAAAGCACTGCGAAGGGTTCTTCCGGAAAATCCCTTGAACACTGACACTTCGATACTTACACTTACACACTGACACTTCCACCACACTTGCACTACAACATGAACGCTATACGTACCCAGTGTAAGTGGAAGAGCGAAAGCATCCAAGTGCAAAGTATGCAAGTGTCAAAGTATGCAAGTGTAAGTATGCAAGTGTAATGATGCAAGTGCAATGATGAGTATGCAAGCATGCAGTGAGTATGCAAGCATGCAATGAGTAGGCAAGTGTGAGCATGGAAAACTAGCACGGGAGATGTCCTAATGAAAAAA